GAGACATATATATATATAAAAAAAAAAAAAAAAAGAAAAATCCCAAATGCAAGACACTCAAAAATGGCAGACACCTGAGCTCAGAACTGACATTAAGGACCAAATTTTCAAATGTGTGCCACCTGCCTAAAAACAAAACAAAAAACCTAACCCTAGCCCTCCTAACTTACTTGGGTACACAACTTAGGTGACCAGATGTCTGACATACAAGATAACTAAGGTGTAATGGGTGTGCGTGCATCTGAAAATATGGTGCAAAGTCTCATTTTGTTCCCCTCTAACAAGCCCCTGCTTTTAATTAAATCTGTGAGAGATGGGGAAAGCCTGTGTGTTTCACATTCATCCTGTTAGATGCTGATGGGTGAAGCCTCCTGCCTTTGCAAAAAATCAGACCTAATATGACAGAGAGAAGAGACTCCAACCCTGGGCCAAATTTTAAATTTATTTGCACACAGTCCTCCTTTGAGTAATCTAGTGCTACTTTCTTTTATGCCATTTGAACTGCCACCACACCACTCTGATTCATCAGGTTTACCATGCTATTGTGCTGTGAAGACACCATGAGTCTCCAGCACTCACAGCTGGCTTCCCCTTGACCCCCAGTTCAATGAAGTAAGTTACCTCTACAACCTGCTGCATCCAGTGAGAGTTTGGTTTGGTTTCACTGAGTGTCTAGGGAAGACGGCAGAGGGACAAGAAACATCTGTCTTACAGAAATCTCTTCCCTGTGATCATATTTCTTCAAGTGCCCTGGTACAATAAAATAGGCAACAGAGCAACAAAAACTGTCTACAGAAATGTGACTGCCAGTTGCCCAATCTGATAAATGCTTGGTAAGGGGAACAACTTCTGACCAGACAAAGCAAAAAGTGACATTGTCTCAAATGGATGCTTGACAAGAACTCAGTTGACTTGCAAACATGCCCAGGCCTTTCACTTTGCTCCCAGAGAGCTGACACCAGCAATGCTAAGAAACAGATGTGAACTGGAAGAGCATTTGAGGTGCTGGCATGCAAATTAAACCAACCATCCCAGTGAAGGTGTATATGCTTAACAGAGGGTTATGCTTTCTCCTTGTTACACATGCACATTGAGAGGAGAGACACATGAAGATCTAGATCTCAGAGATTTAAATAAGTATGAAAATCATTGATGTGTCATGCTTCAGTGTCACAGGAAAATCACCGGCTCGTACTTAGACCTCCGCTGAGTGGTCTAGTAGTTACTATCCATGCATGGAGGCTTGAACTTCCGACAGTCTGCTACAGCTTGGGGTGCCCATCCTCTGTGCTCTTTGATACAAATCTGAATCTCCAAAGTAACGTGCTCGATAAAGCAAGCCTTCCTCTGAAAAGGAAAAATTCCAATATTAAAAACAATCATTCACCAAGATGTGAAGTGTGATGTATCAACTCCTCAACATCCTATTGATTTCAATGGGAAAAGGATCTGGCCTCAAGTTCTTCAAGGCCAGATGAAGTACAGTGAGAGGGTAGGGAATACCTGATGTCCTTTGGAACAGAACAAAAGTGATCTTTGTCAACAGGCCTTCAATGGCTCATTCTAAGGAAAGTTTTAGATATGTGCTGGGAACTGGAAGTAGCCCTAGTGTGCATTAAATGAGTAACATAAGGGGTAGCCTGGTAGTGTGGGAAAGAAGAAATATGGTGGATCAGAGTTTATCACTCTAGCTTGGTCTATTGCATCGCTCTGCAGCAACAACTTTGGCTGACTCAGAATAGCAATGTCAGGGTGTCACATTCAGCACTTCTTGGTCAGAAAGACAGTTTGCATGTTGTGGGGATCCAAGAAAGCTTTGGAATCTCTTTTTGCTCCCATACAAACAACAATGCCAATATATTTGCACACAAATCCCAAACTGGGCATTAGTTCAAAGCAGCTGTAATCAACTATCATACAGTCATTTGAGAAAGGGGCCAATCGAGGGTGGAGTCAATAAAATGTTATCGTTGATGATAAACCTTGAGAGTTAAACAGTCATAAAAAAAAAAATAGAAGAGGATTCCATTTTTCACCTTGTAGACTCTCTGATATGGCTCATTAGACTGAACGGGACTGCAAAGATATACGCTTCGTAAGCACTAAATCACTTTGTTCTAAAATGACACGATAACCCCAAGGCAATAAGGAAACATCAGGAAACTCCTGAGAGTCTCCTGGCCCTACCTTCCCGATTCCTCAGGAAATCAGAGAATTCTGTTCATATCCCACTGACATGGCAAAGGAGCTCCACAGAATGGAGCTGTTACACTGATCATTTCTATAATATTATTGTTTAAAAAAATTATACGGGACAGAGGTGACCAATTTGTCATCAAACCATTGCAGACACAGGGCCGATGGGCTGCCTCAGGTTCTACACAGCAAGGAAATTATGATTGAGCTATCAGAGATTTACGTATCTCAGTTCCTACTCAAGGACTTTTTTCTAAAACAAATCAGACTTTTAAGAAAGTGGCCTCAGAAGGTTTCCATTCCTCCCACCATTCCACTCACTCTGTTGCTTTTCCTTCCAGCAGTTATTTCTAAGGTTTGCAATGTAATCGTCTTCCACACTCCTCTCAACATTTTTCAGGTTTGTACCAGTGTACTCTTCTGCAAAGTTCTCAGCTACATAGTAAGCTACTTTCAAGTGCTCCGTCACTCTCCTGTGTATGTGACCCACAGACCTAGTTCAGGGAGAAAAAGCCAAAATAGTAAACGTTATTCAAACACAAAGTAGAAATTTTTGGACAAGCAACAGCTAATATGCATTATTAATCTATTAAAGGACATATCCTTCCTGTACACTTGCTGTTTTGGTAAGGAGAGTTTTATCTCTGGTGGAACGGACATAGTGGAACATTCTACCAGGTGGAAATAAAACCTACCTAGCCAACCAATCAATTCTTCCCTGAGCTACATGGGTGTGCTTCAGAACACTGGGGTAGCTTGGGTGTTGACTGCCAGAGGACTCCATACATGTTTTAGAATTAAGTGCTCATTACAATCTTCAACAGCTCCTCAGCAGCTAGTGTTTGAAATACTTTTTGCTACTTCCTTCCCAAACATACGGCCCTTCTCCTTCAGGATGTGCCCCAAAGATGCTGTGTGTGTCTGGTTATGAATCTCTGAAGCTGATGGATCTCGAGCTGAAGACTAAGACAAACCAGTATTTCAGAAATATATTTGTTCACAGAATGAAGTCAGAATGTAGGTCAAAGTAGAACAAAGACACAGCTGATAGCTAAGCTTGCTCAATAAGACTGTCTGCTTGATGAATCCAGACCCTCAGCTCCTCTCACTGCAGATTACTGTTAACCCCAAGAGGGCACATTGCTCTACCTAGCAACATGCTGCAGCATCCACTATTGCTGCAGAAAGGAGCTAGGTTCCCCTTTCCCCATATCCTCCTCCTCCCCAATTCCTTCCCTCTTTATTCAAGACAGTGCCAGGACAGAGAATACCTCCAAAAGGGTATTCTCTTCTGATTCACTGACCAGACACTTCAGACAGCGTAGATGTACAGATACTTAGTATATCTAGGTGTACCTACGGAGGAATGTAAGGGCTTGTCTAAACATGGAGTTGTTCCTGATTAACTTCATGTGTGGGCACATTTATTTCAGAACAAGAGTGTCTTGTTCCTGTTTAGCTTAATGTAATTTGAAAAAAGGGGAACCTAAGCACACCCTTCTTGCTACTCAAAACAGAGCCCTAGGTTCTTCACAAGCTTGAGCCCCATGCCTGTGTGTTATGTCAAGAAAGGAGACTACATTTTGGGCACATGTGAAGAGAATCATAGTATTTATCATTTGATGACCTTCCTGAGTCTGCCTGGTACTGTAGAAACCAGAGGAATAACATAACCCGAGGAGCTCATAACCTAAAGTTAGACAAGCAATACAATTCAGACACATGCCACCAGGCATTTCAGTCTCCTAACGTGGCTGTTCGAGGCCAGGAAGACAGCCGAGCACAAAGAACATTTCTTGAATCCCAGCTTCTTTTTCTTCAGTCCCAACATAACCCGGAACTGGGCTACTAAATAACTAAACTATCTATATTTATCACTTAACTAAATTATCATGACAGCAAGAATGGAAAAAAAACTGGATCCGAATGGACTGGAGTAGTTCATGTCCATCTGGCACAGCAGATGGAAGGAACTGAGGTGCTAGAGGGCACTGCACCTTCTTATATAACCTTATCCTCAAAACATTCAGAGACACCGACAGGAGAGGTAGGAGGGGGCGCGTGAGTGCTCTAATGGCTGCTTCTTGGAGAAGGTTCTATTGTTAGGCCCCATGAGGTGCCACAATATCCAGAAGTGGGAATATGAAGAGCCACTCAAAGAAGAAAAATGGGATTAAAAAGGTTTATTTTTGCTCATTGAACTAGCATTCTTGGCTGCAATAATGGGTGCTGGCAGATCTCCAAGTCATCCTTCTCAACAATTACAGGTGTTACATAATGTTATGGGTCACGTGAAAGCAAGAGGAACATTAGGAAAAGAAAGGCAAGAAAACATACCAAAAAGCGAAAATAAAACACAAAGATCCCAACCACTAACAGCCAATTCTTGTTTCCAATTGCTCCCCCTGCTCCCAGCCCACCCCCAAGCTAAATATATATGAGAGTTATGGGTACTAACGGCCTGTGGCTCAAACTGTAAGGTGGGCTGGAGACCATCATCTGGCTGAGAGCTGAAACAATTATCAGGATGAGAATAGGCATCAGCTGGACAAACAACCCAAGGCCACCCTGAGGGGGAACAGAAATATACAATGGAATGTCATCAATACGTTTACATGCATAAGACTATTTAGCATCTCACCCTCCCTTGCAAACCCAATCATACCGTGCCCTTGATCCCACTGATGTGAGTGGGAACTGTGTTTTGCATTCTGCATTAGTCAAAGAGGCAACAGGACTAACTGTTCGATGGGGTTTAAAAATAAAAATGAGTCAAAAGAACATTGCCAAAGCAGCTTGTGGGGATTTTGCTGCCCAGTGATTTCCATCAGCAGTAATGGCAGTCATGGGGTTAAATCCCTGAGCATTACTTTGAAAGCACACCTGAAAGTGCTAAAGCCATCCTACACATCCCAAATCACCATCACGTTTTTTGGGGGGTGAAGAAAAAAAAAAGTCTTGAATGTGAGTTTTGAAGGACTCCTGTCATTGTTATATTTAAAGATTTCCAGGACAGTTGCTAATGCGCATTTCATATCCATGTCAGTCTGTAGAGACTAGTACCACAGCACTAGATAGATTCTTTAGAAAGTGCTCCCCTTTTACAATGATATGCAAGATGAGTTTGTGTCCCTTTCTGCCTCACCTCTTAAATTCCCTCCCCACTCTAGTGCAGAACATCTGTCCCCAAAGACCTACGAAAAAACACCCAATAGCATTTAAAAATATATACTGTATTAATGGTCTACACTGCCGTGAAAGAGATCTGGGTTAGCTCCATGGTCCCTCTGTCTCATTTCCTTAGCCAGATGGGGCTGGGAGCATTGCAGAAGCAGCACATTTGGCCTCTGTGACAAAGGAGGCACAGAAATGCCTCCTGTCACTATAAAAGTGTCTTCCTTGACTAACTAAAGAGGAGAATGGATTAGAAGCCCTATAGAAGTCCTGCCCTGTCCGGTGCTCAGTGGAAAGGTAGTGGCATGGTAATTTGAGATTCAGAAGCAAGAAATCTCAGAGTTCGGACAGAGGTTGGGGACAAAAGAAAAATCGGTAGATGTTTAAATCTTTAAATTTTCTGTCTCTTGGTTTCATCAAGTCTGGAGATCCCTTCTCAACCACTCTGGTTTTGCATTCTGTGAGAGTTCACGTGTTGAACAGGTCTGGTTCACAAAGTGTGCCTGAGAACATTTGAGTATAGGAAAGTCATTGAATAAGTCAGATGTTTTGACTAACCATCCCCCTCTAAGATCATGATCACAACCCCCTGGTTATTTTTCTGGCATTCTTAGATTATAACAGCTTCAAATAGGCCTGATGAGTTAACATTGTAGCATCATGCCACCAGCAGCACATCCTGGGTAGCAAAATAAGGAGGAATGGGTGTAGATGTTATGAGGACTCACATATAAGGTGGATAAACCCTCCACTATTCAGTTAATTTCTGCTCATTGTTTCAAGAGAAATCTGACTTTTGGAATTAAGTGTTTAGGTAAAAAAGAAATTTCAGTTCATGCTGCATTTGGCTGATGCTATAATTTTATTTCAATATGATGCTATGCCAAACAGAAAATGACATTTATTTTCCCATTGTGTAAATGGGATCCAGTCTGATAAACTGCATCTGCATATGTATGAAAGTCATGGAAATTCAACTGTAAGTAAGTGAAACAGGCAACTCTGATAGAAAAAAATAAACTCACTTGACACAACAATAGAAAAGCACTCCACTTATCTAGGAAAATGGAAAACCAGGTGGCCAATTTAATACAATCGCTACGACAGCAAACTGTTTTTTGGGTTGCACACATTAAAGCCTTTTAACTTTCCCCTTGCTCGTCTCCACTTACATCACCCTGATGTTCTCGTCTGTCATGCCTCTGATGGTAGGTATATCGCATCCTGCCATTGCTGTATACGTGAACATTACCTGTGGGCAAAAGAAATCCATTAAAAAGAATCCAGAACACTGGGACATTCTGACAGCACATGGGCAGATTAGGCATAGACAAATCACAATGAAATTCAGAAATGTTCACCTAAGCCACCCTGTGATGTTGGCTGGAGTTTTAGCCAAGTGTCACCAAGCAATGACATTGCAGCATCACTCGAGAAAATAATAATGGAGGCATCTTTAAAAAAATGTACCTGACAGGGTTGGCTAAGCTGTGAGGGTGAACACCAATTCAGCAGGGATGATAAAAAGATTTTTTTTTTTAAGGAAGAATCTGGAATTCACTGCCTGGTAAGCATTTAGGAAATGAGTGGTAAGTCCTAAACTGAACAATGTTACTACCAGAAAAGACTTATTCCCAAGGTGGGAGAGTGCCAAGCAGACCTGCCTGAAGGGTAATTGGTGGGTGGTCCACATTATTTGTGTAGCCAAACTGGAGGACTTCAGGGTAGGTGGAAACATTGTGCAAGTCTCTTCAGTACTGTGTGGTGTTGAATTTTAGATTATAAAACTAAGAAGTTATAAATAAAATAATATTTTTTTCCTAGTTTCCTGATCAGAAAAAAATGGCTCTCTTTTATAATTAAGTGTAGAGTTCCTACATCTGTCATCTTTACTTAGCTGTAGTTTTGAATAATAGAAGTAGCCTTACTATTAACCTGTTTATGAATTCACAAGGTAATGGGGAAGAAGAAATTATAAACAAACCCCAATAGTCATCTTTCTCAGTTATCTCAGTGGTTCCTTCACTCAAACACCTATTCCATTACAGCTAGTATAATGAATACTAGTAAAAGCTTTACAAATGCCTCTGCAAGTACTTAATGTTATTGTGCTATTCCACAGGTAATTCCTCTACTTAGGAGGGGGAATAACACAGTAACTTTATGTGCTTGTAAAAGGAAAAAATGGTGACCATTAAATGGTGTACAAAGGAAATTAGGGAGACAACTCCTTGCCCTGATCAATTTATACAGATTTAATTTCAGTCTGAACAAATTTAAATCATGTTCTAGAGAAGTCCCTAAAAGTTAACTATGGTCAGATTTGGCTAGCAGGGGGAGGCGATGACTACTCAACACCTCCTTTTTATATATATATATATATATATATAGACTGATACCTGCTAGTTTTAGTGTCTTAGTTGTGCAGCACAGCAGATGTTGAAGAAGCAATGTGGGTGAGAGATCTCTTCTTGGTGGTTAGTGGCCTAGAAGTTAGTATGTTTATTCTGATGAAGGGGGTTTTAATACATCCTCAAAACAGGCTTGTAAAACTAGTGTAAAAAAGTAACTTAAAAAATGTTCAAGACAAATTAAAAAAAGGTGAATATGACCAATATGCAAAATCCATTTGAGGGTCCTAAGAATTCCAGCTCTGATGACACTACCTGCTGGTTCAACAAGCTATTTGTCCAGTGGGTTGAGTTCTCAGAGCTCTAATTTTAAACATTTAGGAAACTGAGATGTTTACATCAGTAACGAACAGTCACTTGTAAGGAGAACTCTCATCTACTTCAGCTGTTGAGAGGAACACAGCTCTCAGTATCACCACAGGCTGCCAATAAACCATTACTGCATTATTGTTCTGTCACAAGAGTGGCAGCAAAGATAGCCGAATGGAACCACCCCTGCCTACAGAGCAGATTAAAACTTGATAGGCTTACTAGAAGGAAATCCACCACCAAAGAACATGTTGAAGAGATCCTCAGGTGAGATGTCTGCTTCGAATCCACGGTGGAAGTCTGTGTGACTGTGTCCATGTCTTGAAGGGTTGACTTTCTCATCTCCAAACTGGTCATATTGCTTCCGCTTCTCTGGGTTGCTCAATACTGCATATGCATTACCAATGGCTGAAATATTGGCAAAAAGGAAGTGCAATTAGCCTATTTCTCCTGGTAATACATTCCCCTCTTCTGAAGAAGTTTCACACCTGCAAACTGACAGGTCCCATTACATAGATTAAATTGTCAACTATTCAACCTCTTTAAAAGGGTACTTAACATCCCTGATCATTAGAGGAATGCATCTCTAGGCTGGAAGCAAATAGAAGACGAGGACACGGCCATTTGATAAAATGATTGAGACCTTGATTAACTCAAACCAGGATCCATACACACAGTGCTACTTTGCTCAAATCCTGGGGTGACAGAGATATCCTTCCAGATGAATCAAAAACTCTAAATTCCTGGAAGGATACTGTCAAGATTACTGACCCCACATTCTACTGAGTTTAAAAGTTATTTTTTTACTTGAGAGATGAGGTGGGTGAGGTAGTATTTTTTACTGGACCAACTGCTGCTGGTGAAAGAGACAAGCTTTTGAGCGACACAGAGCTCTTCTTCAGGTCTCCCCTATCTATCTACCTCCCCTAGTCTGTTCCTGACTCTGCAGAGTACTTTTTTTTTTTTCTTGCAAGGATTAATTTTCAGATTAACTTCTTAAACCATGCGAAAATATATATTGAAGCATGGCTTTACTTGGAAAATGACATTATACGATTCCAAGTTTATTGTCCAAAAATATGGCTCAAATCACTGAAAGGCCCAAAGCACACAAATAAAACATCTTAAAGAAATCCTGGGTAAAGGTCTTGTCCATGCAGGTTACAGGTCTCAGAAATTTCCACAGGCCAGAGGGAAGGGGTACAATTAAGAGGAACAGCTTACACAGCATTGTGACAATGGAAAAATACTGAAACTAAACCCCAGCCTCCTTTCTTCCCAACTCTCTTCTTCCACTCTTGCCTCACTCTAACCAACCTAGAAGAATGCTTACTTGCAGCTTTACTGCTGCTAAATTTGCATTTGCTTCTACATTTGCATTTTCTTTTCTTTACACATCTCCATTTGTCAACTCCCTTATCTACCTACCCATCTACCTGAGAGTTTCTGTCCCTGACTCTGCAAGAGTCCATTTCTCTCCTCATCCTCAACTACATAGTGTGAGATGATAACTTATGAGTGAGGAGGATATAGACAAGCTAATTGTACTGGAGTTGATGGAGGATTTTTCAACATAAGCTTTGCAAGGCTTTCTCCTTCAGATAGATTCATGTAACTTCTCCTTTCCTGTTGATGCACATGTAGCCAGAGCAGCAAGAGGGCTTATCTACATGGGAAAGTTATGCCAGTATAAGTTAAGGTGCAAGGAACATTGGCAGGCAATTCAAAGGGAAGAATCTGAGGTCTAGGTTTTGTTTTCTGTATGCACTTTTATTGACATTAAAACCCAAGAGATATTAGCAATTATGTTCCCAATAAGTATTTTGCAATGTATTGCTGCTATCTCACTCCAAACCAGAAGTTTAGCTAAAGTGGTCAGGTTTAATTTTTTTCCCCAAAGTCAGCCAAAGCTAGTGATAGGAACTCCAAGGGACAGTGGGGGCTATTGCAACTACTGATTAAGACAAAAAGTCTCAAGGCAAAACAGCACTTTATCAGATGTCACTGGGAAGATTAATGTTAAAGCATTAGCTAATACATCAGTGTAAGAAAAAAATAACGAAAATCTCCAGAGCCCTGCATATTTTCCCCTTCATCCTCTGGAACCAAACAGCTGGGCTTTAATGGGTATTATGACAAGAGTGCTAATATCAGAGGCATAATGGAGTGGAGAATCAATGAGACATGGCTTTGAAGAAAGATAACCTGACAGTTGATAGTCCAGTAATGGAGGATAAAGTGCACCTTGCTTAACGCAGTTTTGACATGTAACTTGCTTCTAAGCCTTCAGTAAATATGATTATTTAAGATTACTGGTGAAGAAACCTGCCTTTTGCCACTTTTCAAGGATTGAAGAGTAAACTGTTGAAGAAAGGTTTATGACAGGCACTATGTGGATGTCTGCATGCACATGCAGATTTGATCTGAACCCAATGCATAAAAGGTCTCTCCCAGGTAGCTGGAGGCTCAGCCCACTATTTGCTCATGGCAATCCACTTATCAGTCATAGATTTAAGAATTAATAGGCCTGAACAACCCCTGCCTCTGACTTTTGCTCCTCAACTTATGCCTATCCATTAAAAAAAAAACACAAAAAAACCACATACCCTAATATCAAATAACATAGTAGTATACACTTGAAAATAGACTTCCCAACCCCCATAGGAACCTCATGTATTTCACTCACAAGCTAGCTAGTTGAAACTGGACATGATACTTTAAATAGAGTTCCACTTTGAAAAGTGACATGTAAAAGTAGCATTTTGAAGTTCTATGTTTATCTCACTGACGCCTCATCAATTTTACTCAATTTACAAACAAAAATAGTTTTTTTTCTCACCATCCCTAGAAACTCATCCTAAACTCAAAAAGAACAGGAGTACTTGTGGCACCTAAGAGACTAACAAATTTATTTGAGCATAAGCTTTTGTGGGCTATAGCCCACTTGATCAGATGAATAGAATGGAACATATAGTAAGAAGACATATATACATTCAGAGAACATGAAATGTATATATATCTTCTTACTATATGTTTCATTCTATGCATCTGATCAAGTGGGCTGTAGCCCACGAAAGCTTATACTCAGATAAATTTGTTAGTCTCTAAGGTGCCACAAGTACTCCTGTTCTTTTTGCGATACAGATTAACACAGCTGCTACTCTGAATCTTAAACTCAGAATCAAGCTTGGTGGCTTTCTTCTTACCCAACATCACCAGTATTAAACACTCTGCTGGTCAAATTATGCCTTCAGTGACACCTATACAATCCCACTGGCTTCACTCTGATTTGAACAGGTGCCAACAAGAACATAATTTGGCTTGCACAGTCTTTATTACTGGTGCTCATGAGTAAGAAGGACACCAAGGATGGAACTTAACTCTCAGGTCCCAATTCAAGGCAATGTTCTGGCCATTTTCATGCTGCTAAAAGGACAGGAAAACAGCTGGAGGCCAACCCCAACCTCCCTGAAAATATTCCCCTGGCAGGTGGGAGTTCCCTGGGTGGCACAGGGGAAGAAGGGAGAGTCAGAATGCAGATGGCTATTCTGGGCTGCTGGACAGTCCTTTAGTAACTGCGGCAGCCCAGGCACGAATTAGTAGCTTTGGGGTCTCTCTAGTTTACACTAGAGGCCAAAATGGTCCCCAGCAGCCTCAGAATCCTAAACAACCTTGGCCACACTCAGCTGTGCCTCTGGAATAGGAAAACTCAGGCACTAGAAGACTGAGGGCTAGTCTACACTATAAGCACTACATCAGTGCAGCTGCGCCACTGTAGCGCATCTGGTGAAGACGCTCGATGCAGACAGGAGAGAGCTCTCCCATTGGCATAATAAAATCACGTCCAGAACCAGTAATAACAATGTTGGCAGGAGAAGCTCTCCTGCTGACATAGCGCTGTCCGCACCAGCGCTTAGGTCGGTGTAACGTACACTACTCGGGGGTAGCTTATTCACACCCCTGAGCAATATAAGTTATGCCGACATAAGTGTTAGTGTGTACAAGCCCTAAGATAAGTTAGGAAGGTTGTCAGTTGGGAAAACCTTATTTTATTTGTAAACTAAGTCATTTTACATGGCATCAGTGAAACACAATGAACACAGAACCCCAGGAAACTTTTACTAGAGATGTTTTTCAGAGTAGAACTACACTTAAATTTAAGACTTAATATTAGAGGAAATATTTTCTAGTAAATAGATTTTTAAGCCAGCGACCCCACCTTTTCAAGCATTTGTTTTGTCAGGCTTGTCTAATTTGATATCAACTATTTAATGTGCACAAAAATAAACCTATTTTTCTTAGCACACTGCTCTTTTCTACAGACCTTAATATAATGAGCTAAACTTATTCCTCATGTAACACTACTGATTTTCCCAAAGTGACACCAAGTATTTACCTGGGCCACAATCGATTGCTGAGTATTGATGCTCACTTTGCAAAGTCCCCTGAAAATCGACAATGCAAGCTTTCTAGTTCTTTCTGCTAAGACTGACATAACAGATAAAATTAAGATGCAACATTAACACAAAGGAAAATGTTAAGAATCACGGAAATTAGAGGTGAAAGTTCAGTAATTTAGCCCTTATCCCTAAAAATCAGAACGACTCCCTATATTATGTTTTCTAGTGCTACATTTAAGCCTAGTTTTAAATATTCCAAGTGATGGGGCTTCTCTTGGTAAACTATTCCACAACCTAATGGATCTCATTACCAAGAAAATTTCCCTTTTCAGTGTCTACATAGGTTCTGAGAATCAGGATCTTTACATTTAGTTATGTTTTGTTTTAAGTTATTAGGGATTTAAAAAAAAATCTTGGCTGGTGTTAATTACATAATTGGTTCAGGTGCACAACTGAGTTTGTTATTTGGGGTTTATATATTGTAATTCCATTTATGATATTTTTGTTTAATTGCAATATTGATGTGTTTGCTGAGAAATCTGGAGTCTTATTAGAGGACTGCTTGGAAAGCTCATTGGGTGGGAGAATTTAAACTATGTAACTGGTTTCTCTGATGCCAGCTCAGAAGAGGGCAGTTTTCTGCCAGACACTTTTCCCAATCCCCCCGCCCCCCCGGTGATAAATTCAGTTAAACTGTGTGCATTTAGAGTTATACTAAGGCACTTTCCGATACCTGCAGTTATAAGAGACAAGGGTTTCTGTCCCAACTACTGACTCCTATTCCACACAACCTAATGAGTCTGTAACAGGTTGCTGGTCCTTAGGTGCACGTGCACATCCCTGCTCTCCGTTCCAAGGCTTGTCCCTTTAAGACCAGGAAGGTTGAGGGCATTTATTGTCTCCAGGAAGGAAACATGATGGAGAAGGGTCCGCTGACTAAGCATCATGTAACTGCCTGCTGAAAACTGTATAGGATTTCTTCTAGCTCAGTCTGCTGAACACGAGGGTTGAGGAAAGACCCCGAGGAAGTTCCTCCCAGTAGGCCTAAGAGATAGCAAGGAAGGGCTACTTAGGGGGAAAGATGTGTCCTTTTGCTTTGCAGTTAGTTGTGGAAAGTGGACCAGGCCTTTTTTTCCCAGTGTTTGTATTATTTTGAGCTTTGTTAATAAAATGAGCCTAGAAGAAAGGGACATGAACTCAGTTTTTTGGGAGTTTTATTCTACTTTCCTGGCTGGCAAGTTTGTCCACTGGCTTACAGGGTCCTTTCTTTATTTTTGTTTAATATACATTCAGAAATCAACAACACACCACTCATCAGCCTTCATTTATCGTTTTAGTATCTTTTAGCTGAGGTTGCACTTAGATTGTCACCCCAATACATGACCTTCAGCTTGCGAGGGAGTTGAGTTCAAGAAATAGGACACATGTTTTTACCTTTGAATGCTTCTGTAGCACCTGGCGCGTGGTTCTTATCTGGGTGAAATTTCAGTGCTAGTTTTCGGTAAGCCTTTTTCAGGTCCTCGTCAGAGGCCTCTCTGTTCACTCCTAGAATTTCATAGTAATCTTTACACTGCTTTACCCTAGAAGTTAAGAGAAATGAGGTGACAGGGGCAGTTAGTTTGAGGTAAGGAGGCTTCTTACCTTTGTATGCATCAAGTTTTCAGAATCCCTACATCCCAATTCCAGTTAATATTGTCCTCTGAACTTTGGTTTACTCAATTTTGATTCCTCGGTATGAACCAGTTTATTTCACATATCTGTTTGCCCTGTGCTTTTATTACCAGGGTATCTACAGTCCTTAAAGAACAAATGAGTCAACCCAGTAAAATGACTGCGCCCTCAAGTGGCCCAATGTCACCTTGCATTGGTGTGGAGGCAATTTAAGAAAAGGTTTGACAGAACTAACAAACATCGCACCATGACTTGAAACTCAATAAATTCAGGTTCTAGGGGCTGGTTAGGGGAAGCTGAGTCCATGGTTTGAGAGCTCCCCACAACAACAGGGACAGATAGCAAGAGTGATCCCTCAAACACTGGGACAGGATCTGGGGGAAAACAGTTCTCTCAGATTCAATTAATTCACAGACCAAATTGTCTGTTGAAATAGTCTGTTGAAGGTTTCCACAGGAAGGAAAAAAGCCTGTTCAGGTCATGCAGCCCTATGTTACAGTGGCCTGGTTCATACTACTGTTGTTCAAGGTACATTAGCAGTTCCACAAGGAGTTCTCTCTCCCCCCCAACCTAGACTGCAAAAATTCAGAGCTAAAATATGATATAGGTAACAGAATGGACTCTTCTTAAAAAACGGATTAAGTAGTAAAAATATCCAGAAATTAATCAGCTCAAGATGAGTGTTCTTGTGCAATTCAAACATACCATAGCTTTAAAAAAAAGAGTTTAGCAACTGATTATGCCTACAATTAAGTTTATCTGCTCTTCGTATTTACAGGGTGGGGGATAAATGCCAGCTGAAAACCTGTTTTCAAACAGTATACTGCACATGCCAGGTAAACTTGTTCCAGGCAATTTTAGCAGGAGTTTTACTAAGCGTATCACAACATGGAAGTGTGATAGAATGGGAAACCACCACAATGTACCACTATCAGGCTCTCATCAAGAGAGACTCAGGACTGGAATACCAGCAGACACTACAGGTCAGGCCTGATGTGCACTGGCAGAGTTTACTTAATATTAATTATCTGAATTAAGGTGCCTAGAAATTTGAGCCTCAATGTACTAGGCATACATATGGAGTGGGAGGGGGGAACCTTATGCACAGGACAGCCAATTCCAGCCAGGGCTATTAAATCCCTCTAACACTTTTATGTTATAAGTCCATTAACAACTCTCCAATTACCCAACATTCTCAGATAATTCAAAGTCTGTCATTACAGTAACACACATCCCATACAGTTTCTCCATGTATTAAAAAAATCTGTGTTTCTGCAAGTTTTAAATGTCTTTGAAACACTCTGGAGAACAGACTGATATCATGCAATAAAACCAAACACCGTTGGGGTAGATCATTAATGTCATTGGACAACAAACTATTCTGTCCTATGAATAATGAAGCAGTGACTGCCTACCTCTTAACTGCATCCACCTGATCTTGGGTGTAACCTTTGCTAGTCTCCCCACCTGCCTCCCCATTGGCTGATGGGAAGTCTCCACTCATTTTCCTAAAGTGGGCATTTGTGGACTCCCTGGATTTGGACTGGCCATTGGCTGATTGTTCATTCTTGGTGAGGGATTCGATCAGCACTAAAATTAAAAACAATTGAAAAAGAGAAAAGTTTAGAGATCATCCAAATCACAGAAGCTACATTGCCCCTTTACCCACTGAGAAAGAGGGATCCCTCTTCATCTCTGTCACAACCATAAGGATCCTCCATTCGTTCTTTCCCCTTCATCAGAGATGCCATCTTTTCAGCCCAGGAATGCCAGTGTTCTCACTGCTTCTCAACCAAAAGTAGGGGGGGCACAGCTTACTGATACTACTACTACTTCAGCAGGGGCAAAGCACGCATCCTCCACAGCAATCCCAGGCCCTACCAGCCTGGGAGACAAGAGTCTGGAAGTCACACCAGGGTCCCCAAATTACTAGACATTTGTTTTCTCATTTTCACTTTTTTCTGCCTTTCCTTTAGGAACAAATATTTCCCACTTTGTATTCCATCTTCAGGAATGAATAACAACCTTTAGAGAATGGTACCCTGGGAACAACTTCACATCCATCCATTTAACTCAACTAACCTCCTGACTTTCAGTCCCCCAATGGTTGGTAAGTTACAATACAACATTGCTACCTACAAGGTTTAGAAAACAATCCCATGGGATAGTCACAAATTTGTTAAAAGGGGGAAAAAATAAAGCTTCCTTCTAATTTTCCTCTGTTCCAGAGACACTGTAATGATTCAAATACAGGATGTGCTGAATAACTTCCTTTGAGCACAGACAGCCACAGTACACAGCGATGGTGGTGGGGTTGTCGCTATAAAGTCTAACATCATCAGATCCATAGCAGAATGTGTTGGAAGAGCACTTTGGTTTTTGGTACTGTGTCTCATTTATTTGCAGGATGCAGGGAAGCTATGAGAGCCTCTTTTTCAATTTGTTATAGAGAGGTTTTTCAAATTCACATTTTAAGTCCTTGAGTGGGATGTGCAAATATTTTATGTATATTGCTCTAAGGCTCTTCTGCTTTAAAACCTCCCCTTCCATCCTCAGGGCTCCATGCTATGGATACCACCTTTCAGACTGGGGCATGGCAGACATAATAATTTAGACCACAGCCCAAAAATGCAGCTCCGTAATTGGCCAGAGCAGGAAGGTGAAGATCATTGTGCTCTGCAGGCATAAAACCACCACTCAAATTCACTTTGTCATCTAATTTTGCAATGTTCACCTTTTTGCAAAGCTTCTTTTTACTAAATTTCAGACAACTCTTCAAGTCTTTAGTTTCTGTATTTCATAAGGCTTGTCCCCACTGTATAAAAAGTATACACACTTAATAAAACTAGAAATGGAAAATAGTATTTACAGACATATCAGTAACTTGAAGAGGTTGCAATCCTTTATCCAGAATCTATACCAAAGAAGGACATTCCATCTACTGCAGTGCCCAAGAGTCTACCTGAATGCACATTTAAGACTTTCTACCATGGGGATATTGCATTTTTTACGTAACAGCAAACAACATATGCAAGCAGGCAGCTGAACTAAGATATCATATCTGCTACACAAAGTTTATGTTTGGGGAAGAAGAAACAGATCAATAATCCTACAACCAATAAAGAGAATCATTACAGAATGAAGGATAAAAAGCAAAGAACACTGGAGGCTAAGTACCTTGCTGAATTGCCTGTTGAGCTTCTGAACCTTAAAATATTTCTTCTTTCAGAAAACTTTGTTAAATAGATCTGACTGTTCCAAAATTCCCCATAGATTATAGTTTACAGGCTGCCTCTTTTGACCTTACAGGTGACACCAGATAGGCTGCCTCATTCTTTTTCACATTTCCCATACCAGTTAAATGCAGAAAATCTCAATTAGATTAGACAGTCCCTCTCTCTACAAAAGCAGGAGTGTTTCTTATATTACATTTTCAGGTATGTTGTTCAGTTTAGTTTTTAAAGTCTGAAGCAAGAAGGCTACCAATATTTATTTTGGGAAAACTATTCCAGTCTAATATACCTCATTGAATATCTGGAGAAATTTCTTCACAGTCTAAATTCTCTCTCAATTTCATCTCACTATTCTTATACAGAGAATTCTACTTGATATTAAATTTATCTTCCTCCTTAGTATTTACACTACTCAAATATTTGTAGATCTATGGTCCTCTGCTACTCCTTAGTTAAACTATACATATTTAGCTCTTTAAATCTTGTCTCAAAAGGCAATCCCTCCACCCCCTTTATTTTTTGTTGTTGTTCTCTGAATTCCCTTTAATTTGTCAATATATTTCCAGTAACGTGGGTTCCAAAGCTGAATGTTAAATTCCAGGCTCAGCGGCAGCAGAGTCACATGCTGGGACTACTACTTCTCTGCTCCATAACATGGTTCCTTTGCATATGCATCCCAAAAATCACAATGGCCTTTTATGCAGCCATAGCACATTGCAAACTCGTGTCAAACTTGCTGTCCATTATTACCCCTGTATTCAGTCAGCATTACTTCCCAGCTCTCTCCCTCCCCATTAGCATGTGTGTTTAGATTACTTTTCCTCAGATGTATTAGTATGCATTTTTCCAAATTAAGTAGTTTTAGGAAAGTCAGCTACCAGTTGTAAAACTACCATAAGCCACTGAAACTTTGTCTATGCCAGGGCTTCCATCACTGGTGGTGATTTTTTTGTAAAATTCACTATTGTAGAAATTAATTTATATAGTGATAGCACATAGAGAACCAAGTCAGAATCTGAACTATACAAGAGCTATATATTATTATTATTATTGTGCCAGGCGGTGTACACACATAGTCTACACAAATGACTTTTTGATCTTTGCTAGCACTGATTTCACTAACCGAGTTGTAAGGGAGATTTTTAGGAATCAGACTAACCATACAAAGTCTAAATTAACATCATGTAATTACAGAGACTTCAAGATTTCTCCCCAGCAGCGTATTACTAGGCATGTCACAGAATGTAAAGAAATAGAGCTTACACTCAGCTATGGGCTGTGGGAAGGTGAGAGACACAATAATAGAATGGTTGGGGTTATAGTAGGCACTTTTAAGTGGTACATTAAAAAAAAATTAACGTACCCCTCTTTCCTTGCATCCTAGGACTCTAATCTGTCCGTTTCCACGGACCCATCCATTATTCTACATTGAATAAGCCTTCTGTCTATTCTGCCCTACCCAAGCCAAATATTTAGGCCTGAGTATCACTGCTCCAGGTGCAGGTAAAGATGCCCACACATGATGAGCAAACTGGTATTTATTCACCCTTCAGCATCTGTTTTCCTGATCAGCACCATAGCAAAACTCTTCAAGAAAGCCAAGGCATCTCTGAGGGTGATCCATTCTTGCTGGAACAGAGCTTCTAGGATGAGTTTTTCCACAAAAAGATTACACTTTTTCCTGGGTAATTAGATAAGAAAGGTTAAACACCAACCTTAAGGCAAAAATCACATCAGAAACAGAACAAGCCTATTCATCATGTCTGCAGTTGCGGGAGGAAGCCACACAGGACTAGAGAGAGGCATACAAACAGCCTAGAGCTCCCTACTGTGAAAGAGTTCCCAAAACAAATGGTCCCCCCAAGAGTTCCCCCTCCACCCTCAAAAAAGTTGAGAAATCAAAGCCAATTTTGGTTCTGTCTAAAAAATTTAGAGCAGGAATTCACATAAGTGACAATAAACATATACCAATAAAAGAATTGCTTTCCTCTTTTTTTTTTTTTTTTACTATTCACTTCATTTTGCTAAATGTCAAAGGCATATGTTTACTATTTATTTCTAAAGCTTACACAGACACACATCTGGGATGCTGCATAGTTCAAAATAGCTAAACAAACCCAGTTCAATGGGCCAGACAGTCACTTGCAAAATAAAGCAGGCAAGAAGGAAGATGTGTTTAAAAACAAAACAAACAAAACCCAACAATGTAGAAATGAGATGAATAGACTTTGCAGAGAATCCTAAAGATAGGTGCAGAGGGACTCTGGTGGATATGCTCAATGAGGGAATTCTGTAGCTTGGGTCTGTAAACCAAGAAAGTTCTACTTCCAGCCCAGCGAATGGAATCTCAGGATAACAGTAAAGGCAATTATGTCTATTGCAACTTCCCCAGAGAGACATTAAGGGATGACCATCACTTGTACGTAGCACCCTCAGGCCTAGATCACAGAGGACTTTATAGAATCTCAGCAGTGTAGACTGGGAAGGGCAAGTAGGGTGAGACTGTTTTCTCCCACCTAACCAGGCTTCTTCACTGTAGTCCTGTAGTGATATCATGATGCAGAATGCATCATCAGTCATCTTCATGACCACAATATCACAAACACAGGGAGATGACCTCACAGCCAAAAGAGATGCCAGGAGAAAGAAAGCAATGGGAGTTTGGAAAGTTAGTAGCAAAATACAGAGCTTTTGAGTAATGTCTTTTATCCCACCTTCTCCCTGCATGCAAATCCCTCTCTGTGACTCTCAAAGCCCACCCTGACCAGTGAAATAACAGGCATGTTACGAATAACTTGAGCGACGTGGCTAGGTTGATATAAATTTTAAGAGAAGACTAGGGTTCAGTCTCCCTTATCAATTGAAGAGCATCCTCAGCTTTAGGATAGGGTGTAAAGCAGGTGTGGAATGTGGCCACTCTGGGCTGTCAAAGGCACAAGGACTCTTCTAGGGGAAAAATATGTAGGCCCTATCTGCTACTGGGTTTCAGTACTTCTAGGGACATGTCTACACAACAGCTGGGAGGTGTCTACCCAGCTCAGGTAGACAAACACTAGCTATATTCAAGCTAGCACACTGCTAAGTGGCTATGGCAGCATGAGCTAGCTGCCCAAGTACAACCCAATCTGAGGTCCTTGATATGTATTCAGGCAGCCGTGGCTGCACTGTTGTTTTTAGTGCACTGGCTCAAGCGTGTACAGGGCCGTATTTAAGCCGATTCGGCTGATTCCCCGGAATGGGGCCCCGCGCCTAAGAGGGCCCCACAATGTCCAGGGCTGCCAGCGGAGCGGAAAAAAAAAAAAAAGCCGCATCCTGCTTCTCCACCCTCCCTCCACGCTTGCGCCGCCATACAGCTGATCAGCGCAAGCCTGGGAGGGAGGGATGAGAAGGAGGAATGCGGCGTGCTTGGGGAAGACGCGGGGCCAGGGCAGGGATTTGGGGAGGGATCCAATGGGGCAGGGAGGGGGCAGGGCAAGGGCGGAGTTGGGGTGGGGCGGGGGAGAACGTGAGACAATTCGTGTCCCGGCGTGGGGCCCCACACCTGCTAAAGCAGGCCTTGAGTGTGTATGTCTACCTGAGCTGGGAATCACACCACACAGCTCTGGTGGGAAGCAAGTACGAAACCAGAGGGGACAGGTAGAAGTTTTGTTTTAGTGTGTGTTAAACCTAAGAATTTATTCCAAGCATCTACCCTTACTAGGTGAATGAAAGGTCTGGTAATGCAGGAATTGGATTCCAGTTTACCCATGTATGCCGATTATGACAGAGGCAGCCGTACTGCAAGTTTTCCTCCTCCACCCTACCAAAGATTTCAACATGAACTTGTTCAGTCATACTCCGGATGTAATTATGCCTCTAATTGGGGGGAGGAGCAGGGGATACTTTATCAAACCTTTCATTTAACACTCTGCTTCTGTCCTACTTGTCTACTTTCGGGGGGCGGGAAGCTGAAAATGAGCTCCCCGAAGACCACAAAACCGCTAAATTGTGTGTTTGGGGGGAGGGGGGACTGACTAGATATTGCAATGGAACAGTGGCAGGACAGATGGATTTTTAAAAGATTGGGGTTTTTTGTTCTGAGTTGCTTAAAAAAATAAAATAAAACCAGACAAAACTTTCAACCTGGTCATGCTGCCTCCATCAAAAAAAGCACTGTTTACAAGTCTATTATGTTTCATTGGCTGACAAGCTATGTAAGTGGTACTTAGGGCTTGGCTACACTTGCGAGTTAGTGCGCAATAAAGGAGCCCCGTGCGCACTAGCTCACTCCCGGTCCACACTGGCAAGGCACGTAGAGAGCTCTGACTCCGCGACTAGAGTGCTCCTGGTACTCCACTTCGGCAAGAGTGTGAACGCTGTGTTGCATTACTGTGCTCTGATCGGCCTCCAGAAATGTCCCATAATCCCCTTAAGTCAAGTGGCCACTCTTGTCATTGTTTTGAATTGCTGCAGGAATGCGGAAATGCCCCTTGAAAACTCCGTTTGACAGGCCGCTGCTTATCTGCTCTGTGACAAATCAACCATTACTGTGGAATGCTGTGTGTGAGAGAGTGAGGAGGGGGGAGTGAGGGGGTCTGCTGCTGTCTGAACTTACAAGAGAGTGTGCTGATATGTTCTCAGCCCCCCCAAAACCCACTCTCTCTCCCCCCCACGTACACACAACACACTCCCTATCACACACTACCACCCCCCAATTGAAAAGCACGTTGCAGTCACTTGCATGCTGGGATAGCTGCCCATAATGCACTGCTCCCAATTCCGCTACAAGTTCTGCAAATGTGGCCACGCCAGTGTGCATGAAGCTGTCATTGTGGACAAACTGCAGCGCTTACCCTACTGCGCTCTCCGAAGGCTGGTTTAACTCAAAGTGCTCTACATCTGCAAGTGTAGCCATGCCCTTAGGTCTTGTCTACATGGGGAAGTCACAGCAAAGTTCATGAGAAATAGCTAGGGTGTGAATTCAAAGCACAATAGCTGTTCCACACTAGCTCCCTGTGTGGACACTCTTATTCTGCACTAAGAGTATCTTTTTGTGGATTTGGTTAATCCACTTCCAAAGTATATACACAAGGAGCCAGTGTGGAATAGCTGTTCAGCAATAGTTTTTTGGCATTAGTTATTCCAGGCTTTTCCCCTATGTAAAAAGCTGTAAAAGTAGAGAGGACAACATCCCTCAGGTAGAACTTCACAGTGTCTGGTGGTTTTATTTCCAGTAATTATTTAACACTACTGCCTATTCCTGAAACAGCGGAGAACAGTCCATTCCTGAGTGAAGTTTCTATGTAACATGATGCCATTTCTGCTCTCTCTTTCCCTTTCCCCTCCCCCGCCCCCCCAGTTTTTCCCTCAGCACTTTTCAGGAAGAGTTTCATTATTTAAATCCTCAATTCTCAAGTGAGAGCTTGATGGGAAGCAACTCTAGACCCTAAATGTTGCCAAATAACACACCACCAGAGGTATACCCTCAAATCTACAGCCACATGTCCACATATAATCTGCCTAACATCACAATATTTAAGACCCAATAATTTTCCAAGCACAATTTCACTCAGAAGCTTATCAAGTGTCTGTCTTCATACTTCACCAAACTGTATTAATTAGACTTTTTTCAGCAGAAATATTGTGTCTTTTCACTATTAAGAAATGGACTAAGCTTAAGCACGTAACATTTTTCAAATAAAGGCTATTATATTGAGCAAAGATGCTCATCCCAAAGAAGTCTGAACCAACTCAACAGGAGGTGACCTTTACACATAGGAAGGACTCTATTTCTCTATTATACCTCATTATGTGAAACATCACCTGTTCTAGACTCAAACTTCTACACACCCAAATCTGGTGTTATTTCATTGTCTAGCTTTATACAAAGTTTACACGTTTGTAGGTCCATAGTAAACCCAGATTTTCAGAACACAGTTTACACAGAACACAGTTTACACAGAGGAAAGGACCGTAACAGCATGCCATGTTTCCTCCTTCACTTCTGATTGAGAAGTTCAGTTTGGGTCTGTCACACCTTTGGCCGTCAGAGGACAACATCACCCCAAACATGTGCAGCAAAATAATAGGTACAGGATTGGGAAATACGGACTGACATGGGATTAGCTGCCCCCATGCCTGGGTACAAAGGGCTAGGGCAGCATGGACAGTGCTAGGACAGCAGTTTCCTCCCCACCCCATTAGCCAGGTTGGCCTTTCCCCCTGACAGGCTGGGGTGGGAGGGGCTGCGAAGGTTTGGGGCACTTCCAGAGGGAGGGGCAGCGATGGGGAGCGGGTCTGTTGGTGGGTGGGACGGGTGTGCAGGCTGGTTGGGGGCGGAGAGCTAAGGGGATGAAGGAAGTTGAGCGTTGGGGGCGCCCTAGGGGCAGGGGAGCGACGGGGTCTCTGGGGGAGGGTCAGGGCGCGGGGAGGCAGACGGGGGGTTCCGTGGGGGGGGGCTGGTATCCCCCAGCCTGACGGCGCGGTGCCCTCTGGGACCTGTAGTCCCTCGAGCCCCAGTAGAGTGGGGTTCGGCCTCCTGTCCCAACGCAGAGGGTCTCGGTTCCGCCCCAGCTCCCCCATGACTCCCCGCGGTCACAACCTAGTTCTACCCACGGGGGACTCCCACTGGAACCCCCGCCGCCCTTCCTGCCGGGCAAGCGAGGACTCCATGTCCCATGATTCCCAGCGCGGCGGGGCTCAGTGCGCAGGCGCAGTACAGGTGACAGGTCAGTAGCGCCGCCGTTCGCGCCGCAGGCCCCGGCTCCCCCGCGCCCCGGACCCCGCTCACCGCGGACCCGCTGGGAGGGGTAGAGGCGCTGGGCCTTCTCCAGGAAGCGGAGCGCCTTGTCGGGCTGGCTGGCCTTGATGGCGGCCACGGCGATGGCAATACAGCGCTCCGCCTCGTCCCTGTTGGACTCCATGGCGGCGGCAGTGGCCGAGACGGGAGGAGGGGCCGGCGCTCGGCGATGGCGTCACCCTCCGAGTGCGCGCAGCAGCCCCCTGCCGGAAGTTCTAAGAGCGACCGGAGACCCACATCTCAGAGTTACCGTGTGGGAAGGAGTAGCGGCGGAGTTACCGTATTGGCTGGTATATCAGCGCATACTCTTAAGCTAGGTCACCCCATAGGCGATACTGAAGAGACGCGACGTCTCCAATGTCTAGGGAAGGGCTGGGAGCCAGGAGGCTGCTGGGCCTGAGCCGCCCTATGTGTTGCTATGGGACCCTGCCCATTTCCTTGCCCTGCCGTATGCCTTGGGTCCCTCAGGGGCAGGAGAACAGAGACGTCACGAACATTCTTGGCAAAATTTATTTCTGGTTTTGTCAAAATGTAATTCTCATCAACACGTTGGGGCGGCGCTAACCCTGCGGCTGCCCTCACTGTGCAGGATTCAGGGGCCAGGCCCAGAGTGCCATTTTGTTATTAATGCGGGGGGCAAGAGACATGCACACCTCCCCCCCCCCCCCACAAAGCATTATTGTCATGAAGACCCTGCTGTCACCGTCCTCCTTCCCTAGAGTGCTGCAGACACTGGGCTAAGACCTGCACAATGAGTCCCTGCTAGAGCAAGGCTCAGAACCCAACATCCTGACTCCCGTGGCCAGGGCTAATGGCTGAACACCTCCCACCATTGCACTTCTCATAGTGCCTAATGGGCAGACTAAATTCAATCATATTTTTCTAAAAATAAGTGTTTTCCTCCTCTTCTTATCCTTCACTGAGGCAAGGACAATGTGGAAAAGCTTCCGAAGAAGCCCATCAACTGTTTTCTGCTGATCCTTAAAATGTTGTGTAGCAGGTTGTAAACACCACTCTAGCTATTCTCTATTCATAGTCCTGGCTTCTCTCTCAACTGCCCATTCTTTTATATAGGTCCAGATTTACTGATGTGTTGTTATTAGGCATTAATAAAGTTACCTCTTCTAGTAACTAATCTACTAAGACTGTCTGCTGTGTCAGATCCTTCCATCTTATTTGAAATGTAGGTCCCTCAAATATATGCTTAATTTAAATCAATAGGACTATTCACATGCAAAAATTTAAGCATGTGCATTGGCACTTGCAGGACCAGGACTTTATAAGAAATTTTCTTTTTTGTTTTTCTGTATGCTATTACCCTACATTCCTAAAAAATTAGGACTTCAAGTTAACCTAACATTAAGCATCACATTATTCCCACTAAAGTGTACTGATGCATGAAGATAAGAGAAATATTTATGCCAGCATTGGCAGCCAGGTCACCTAGGAGAAAGAAAACTCTGATTTCAAGCCAGAGGTGTCAGATATGTTCATATGAACTGATGTCCATGGCGAGGGCGTTCCCTGCAGGTGATGTACAATAGCCTTGCCTGACTATTGTAACTAGGCCAGGGCTGCTATAATTAAAGGAGTAAGTTGAGAAGTGTGTGTTGGAATGTAAGAACGCTAACTGGAAGAAGTTTGAAGCTAGGTGAGGACTTTGAGAGAAGAGTAAATGTGGCATGGGTATAAGAGACCAAATGGAAAGGTTGCAAAGCCACGATGCTGGTGGAAGGTTACAAAATCTACTATTTATGGAGTTCAACTTCCCCAGATGGTGTTGGAGTTATTCTGGATGAAACCACGCTGAGCCATGTGTTAGAAATTACCAGAAGGTCGGACCAACTGATGAGGGTTAAATTGCGTTGGCAAGAGGTAACTAGCTACATAGTAAATAGGTATGCACCACAGTTAGGAGAGGATCAAAAGGTAAAAGAGGAGTTTTTTTAATTAGTTGTTGTGCCTTATTGGAAAGATACCCTGCAACAAGAAGATAATTATTGGAGCAGATTGAAATGCACATGTTTAACTGTGAAAACTGGATCTGAAACAGTCCATGGAGGGTATGGCATTGAAACCAGAAACTCCAAGGGTGAAATGGTCTTACAGACTTGTCTGGCACTGGACTTTGTGATTGCAAACTCACGTTCAGAAGAGGGAAGCTTTCTCGTGTCTACCACTGGCATAAGTTATAAGTCCCAAATTGATTTCTTTTTTAATAAAAGGAAGAGAGAGAGATCATGAATAATCAACTGTAAGGTAATACCTGGCAAGTGCATTGTAAGTCAGCACAGACTTCTCCTTATGAACTTCAGAATGCAGAAACCTCAGAAGCATCTGAACCTCTGGAAACTGGAGAGGCCTAAGTGGTGAAAAACCTTTAAACAAGCAGTAATGCATAGACTTTCTGACTACACAGGGATGTGTAGAGAATGGCTAGTTCAAAATAAAGTCAACTTTGCTGGAAAAGGCATATGAAGTTGTAGAAGTGACGAAACCATTGCTGAACAGGATAAGAAGGGAGGCTTCGGGCTGGAATCCTGAAGTTAATGAATTTGTTGAGGAAAAGAAAAGGTAACCTTAAAAAAAAGGGAGGCAGTTAGATGGCTTCAGCAGTGATAAGATGGCGACATGGAGACAAAAAAAAGAGGCCAAAAGATGTGTTGACAGCTAAAAGCATGGCCTGTGTCAAGCTGTAAAACTGAGTAGGAGGATATAAGGGAGAGAAGAACATCTATAGATTCACCTGGACAAGAGGGAAAATTATGAAGAATGTGAATGAGTTTGCTTACATTAGAAATGAATATGGTTTATTGCAAAGAAAAGGTGAATCAATCAAAGTTTGTAGTGATTATTTTGAAAGCATGATGAATGAGTAGAATGCAAGGGGGGAATTAAGAACATGTATGCCAAACCCGGGTGTGATAGATTACATGCAGGAGGAAGAGATTGCAGCTGATGTACTTAGGAAAATGAAAAGAAAGCACCTAGCCAGATGAAGGACTAGTGGATGCGTTGACATCTTTGCGAAGGGAAGGCATCAAGTATCTAACAAGTTTTTTCACTTATATTCTTAAGAAAGGGAAAATGCTAGATGAAAGGTATAAAAGCTTTGTGGTGCCTATTTTTAAACATAAACAAGCTATTACACTATGTGATAGTTGACATCACACGTGATGAAAGTATGGGAAAAGTTCATTGAAAAACATCTGTGTGGAATAGTTGAAATTTGGAAGGGTCAATATGGATTCATGCCAGGAAAGAGCAGGTTTTGTGATGCCATATTTGCACTACAAATCCTCATGGAGGAATTCAAAGAAAAGATATGACAAATGAATGTGGCTTATGTGGACTTTGAGAAGGCCCAAGATTGTGTACCAAGAGAACTGGTTTGTGTACCAAGAGAACTGATTTGATGAAGTTTGTGATGGAGCGGTGTGGCAGAAAGATATGTCTGACTTATCCAGGACAGTATGATGGAGTGACTATGGTAGTCAAAATTAAGTGCAGTTACAGTAGGGTTACCATTCGTCCGGATTCCCCCGGACATGTCCGGCTTTTAGAGTTAAAAATAGCATCCAGGGGGAATTTGTAAATGTCCGGACTTCCCCCCCATGCAGAGCGCGCGCGGCTGACAGGGCAGCCGGCCGGATGGTGCCACTTACATGGGGCTCCGACAGCCAGAGAGAGCCCCTCCTCCGCTTCCCCCTCCTCTCCCCTGCAGCTGAGAGCACTCCCTCCCCGCATTCGCAGATCACCAGCTGGCTGTTCGCACCGGCAGTCTGGAGCTCCACCCCCTGCTCCTCCTCCCCGGCACGCTGGTCTGAGCGGCAGGGTAAGGGGGCCAGGGGGTCGGAGAAGGGGCAGGGAGGTTCTGGAGGGGGCAGTCAAGAGACAAGGGAGCGGGGGGAGGGTTGGAGGTTCTGA